GGGGGGGGCCTTACCTTGGGGGAGGAGCCTGTTCCAGCCTGGAAGGATGTTTAGGAGGAGTTGGGGGGCCCAGAATGAATTTGGGGGGTCCCAGGGAGGGTTCAAGGGGGTCCCCATGGGGCTTAGGGGGGTCCTGTGGGGCTGGGGGTCCCCCTGTATTTGGGGGTCCCCTCAGGAGGGGTTTTGGGGGGTCCTTACCTTGGGGGAGGAGCCTGTTCCAGCCTGGAAGGATGTTTAGGAGGAGTTGGGGGCCCCAGAATGAATTTGGGGGGTCCCAGGGAGGGGTGTCAGCCCCTCTGAGTTCGGGGGTCCCCTTAGGGGGGTTTTTTTTGGGGTGGGGGTCCTTACCTTGGGGGCAGAGCCTGCACCAGCCTGGAAGGATGTTTAGGAGGAGTTGAGGGACCCCTGAGTTTGGGGGACCCCTCAGGGGGGTTTTTTCAGGGGTGGGGGGGTCTTACCTTGGGGGCGGAGCCTGCGCTGGCCTGGAGGGAGATTTTGGAAGAACTGGAGGGTCCCCCCTGTGTTTGGAGGTCCCAGAGAGGTTTATGTGGGTCCCAGAGTGGGACTGGGGGGTTTTCAGCCCCCCCCGAGTTTGGGGGTCCCCTCGGGGGGGTTTTGGGTGGGGTCCTTACCTTGGGGGCGGAGCCTGCGCTGGCCTGGAGGGAGATTTAAAAGTTGGGGGGACTCCTGAGTTTGAGGGTTCCCTCAGGGGGGAGTTTGGGGGTCCCAGGGTGGGGCTGGGGGGTTTTCAGCCCCCCCCTGAGTTTGGGGGTCCCCTCAGGGGGGGTTTTTTGGGGTGGGGTCCTTACCTGGAGGGCAGCAACAGCGTAACTGGGGCCGGGGGGGTCCTTTGGAGGGTCTGGGGGGGCAGGGGAGGGGTCAGCGGGGTCCTGGGGGGTCCCAGGGGGGTTGGGGGGATAGGGGGGGGTTACCTGTGCTGGGGGAGGGGCGCTGGTAGAACAGGGCCCCGGGGGGGCGGCGGGGGGGGCTCCCTGCCCCCTCCCCCCGCAGCACGAAGGGGCCCAAGCGCCGAACCTGGGGGGGGCACAGCGGGGGTTGGGACCCCAAAATCACACCCAGACCCCCAAAATTCCACCCCAGGCCCCCCAGACTCCACCACAGATCCCCAAAATCACACCCGGACCTGGGAATTTTGGGGGGTCACTTTGGGTTCACTCACAGGTGTCTCAGGTGGGGTCTCGTTTTCCTCGGGGGCCGCGAAAACCCGGATGAAGGAGAGACCGAAGGGGCGGCTCTGGGGGGGCCACAGGTGAGTTTGACCCCCCAGGTGTGTTTTACCCCCCCCAGGTGTGTCTCACCCCCCAGGGGTGTCTCACCTGGCAGTAGGGCTGGCTCAGCACCACCTTCAGCCGGTCCCAGGTGTGCTTGGCCCCCACCAGGTGCTC